GGTTGAGTGTCTTTTGTTGCTAGGTTATTTATTTCAATACAACGGGTCAACGCCGGAAGTCAACGTCGGAAGTCAACGGTCAACGCTGGAGTCAACTAATAATTATTTTATTATTTAATTAATGTATATTTTAATTGATTTTGATCTAGACAAAATGAGTGGCTAAGATTGAATCTCACGTATTCATTTTAAGGAGTGGTCTCATTGAATCCATCCCCTATATATATATATAAAGCGTGTGGATTAATATAAATAACAAATTGATTTGACAAATTCACAATATTCTCAACGTGTTATTTATGTAAAACTAAAACAAATTGAAAACGTGTATAAACATTTATAACACGTTGAATTGGAAAATTAATAATATGGTTAAATATTTTTAAATCATATAGACATCAATTTGACCAAACAAAAAGTAAAAACATGTGATTCTTTAAGAAAAGCAAATATAACTATGTTTGGTAAAACTAGCTGATAAGCTAGCTATCTATAAAACTAGCTAATAAGCTAGCTTATAGCTTATAGCTGATATGTTTAGTAAAACTAGTTGATAAACTAGCTTATAGCTTATTTGTAATTTTTTAGCTTATAGCTTATAGCTTATGACTTATAGCTGAAAAGCTAGCTTATATAATAAAAGTGTTTGGTAAAATTAGCTGATAAGCTAGCTGAATAAAAAAAAAAAAAAATCAACTAGCTTATTTGAAAAGCTACCTAAAGTAGTTTATGAGATAAGCTCGAGCTTTTTAAAAATGCTCGTCCTACCAAACGAAGCTTATTTGAATGCAAGGAGCTTATAAGCTAATCAAATAAGCTATAAGCTAGCTTATTTGGCTTACCATACACAAATAGATAAAATGGGATATAGTTAACCATGGATTTTTCANCAATTCACCAATGATGGCATGATTACAATTTTGATATCAAATGTAATATTCATTTCAATTATAGGCATTTTATCTCCTATTTTAATATATTTTCATATCAATTTTTATGGAATGAACTAAAATATGTTTTGGTCTTATCCTATAAATTGAGGGGATTTTTTAATGTTTTCCACTCATGCTATTATCGAGTTTGGGTTTTTAGTACGCATATACACGGTTAATATTTATATCAGTAAAAAAAATAAATTGCGAATTTGATTTGATCAAAGATGTCACTAGAACTAGAATACAACCCATGAAGCTCCGTGTGATTAGAATTATTTCACAAAAATTTGAGCCTGAGTACAAGAATTTCGTTGAAATTCTTTTTCACGATGAAGGGGTTAGATTTTTTTATTTAATTTTTATTTTTTTATATAAATATATACTATTGTTATAAATAAAATAATTTACGTATTTATACTTAATTTACTTTTTTATTATAGGGATGTCGTATAACTGGATCCTTACGAGCTGCCCATATGGAGAAATGGATGAATAAAATCAAGGAAGGAGAAGTTTATAGATTAACAAATACCAAGTGGAGAACAACTATGGTTCATTTCGACTCACTGTTATTGATTTTAAAATTGTTATCCACGATATGACAAGCTTGGTTAGGTTCAAAGATGACTTCCCTACCTTTATATTTGATTTTAGAAGCTTTGGTACTCTCCATTTTGGTGTCCATCGAGATCAAACTGTGTTCTTTGATAATCTCTAATTTTATCAGTTACTATTTAAATTTTTGGTATGAATAATTAATATATTAAATAACTTTTGATTTCATCAATTTTGTATAGATGTAATTGGTCTTGTGGTTGAAATTGGAGTCGTTTAAATGAAAGATGTTGATGTCGTCCCAACAAATGATTGTGTTTTCTCTTATGGATCCTAGAGTAAGAAGTTTTATTGTTTAACTTTAATCTTTGTTTTGTTAGAATTGAGTGGACCACTTATAAAAATAATTGTTTAGGAGAAAAGCAATTGATTGCACACTTTGGGGGGATTACGTTGATCGACTTTTAGACATTGATAATGAATATGGCAATGATCGTCAACCACTGGTTCTAATTATACAACTTTGCCGAACTAAGCCTTGGGCAGGTATTTTTTTAAATACATTAAATCATATAATTATTTTCATTTATTTCACCCTTAATTTATTGTTTAATTTTAATTCAATTATAACACGTTATTTTATAACATATTTATGCGTTATTTAGCTTACTTTTATTACTTCCGTGTACAATTTTATACATTATTTAATATAATACACGATAAAATTTCAGAAAAAATTCAATTAACTACTTCAAAAAATGTTATGAAGGTAATTGCTGGACATGGTGTTCACGAGATTCGAGATTTCATTCGGACGTTAAGGTACCTGTCAACAAATATAGAAAATTGTTGAACTAATATATATATATATATATATATATATCAAATGCGCCCAACTCTTAAAATGCGTCCAGCTCTTAAAATGCGCCCTGCTCTTAGCAACTACAGACAACTAACCTAGCAAATACAAAGAACTAACCTTGCAACTACAGATAACTAACCTGGCAACTACAGAAAACTAACCTAGCAACTACTAACTTAGCAACTACAGAGAACTAACTTAGCAACTATTGAGAACTAACCTAGCAACTACAGAGAACTAACCTAGCTACTACTAACCTAGCAACTACAGAGAACTAACCTAGCAACTACTAGCTTAGCAACTACAGAGAACTAACTTAGCAACTACAGAAAACTAACCTAGCAACTACAGAGAACTAACCTAGCAACTAGTAACTTAGCAATTACAGAGAACTAACCTAGCAACTACAAAGAACTAACTTAGCAATTACAGATTCAACACCCGCTTATGCGCATTAGAGCTCTACTTCGGTCTGTCCATCACAGGATCACGCACATTTTCCGTGAGGGGAACAGACCTGCGGACTACCTTGCCAACCTTGACGCAACCATACCAGACACACATACGTTTCAGACCGACACTGCTCCACTCCGCCTTCGCACGCTTGTACAGATGGACCAGCTTGGATATCCATCGTTTCGCTTTCAGTAGATTAGGTTTATTGCTTTCAGTAGATTAGACTTTTATTACCGGGCACCTGTTAACCCGAAGACAGACTTTGTATTGTTATTTCTTTGTTGTGTTGCTTTTGAGACTCTGTAGACTGTAGACTGTTGATTTGTTGAGCCCCCGTTTTGGGGTCTTGATCTATGCACAGGTTGGGGATCCAGCCCAATCCCCCGGCCTTCCGGGGTGTCGTTTGTTTTAAAATAAATAAATAAAAAAAAACTTAGCAACTACAGAGACCTAACCTAGCAACTACAGAGAACTAACCTAGCAACTACAATGAACTAACCTAGCAACTACATAGAACTAACCTAGCAACTACAGAGAACTAACATAGCAACTACATACAACTAACCTAGCAACTACAGAGAACTAACCTAGCAACTACAGACAACTAACCTAGTTGGAAGGTTAGTTGTCAACGGTCAACGTCGAAAGTCAACGGTCAATGCCATAAGTCAACGGTCAATGCCAGAAGCCAACGGTCGACGCCGGAGTCAACGTGTCAAAATAATATTTAAATAATTAAAATAATAAAAAGAAAAGAGTAAATCTTGGCCACACATGATGTACCAAATCTTGTGGCTAGGAATGAGTCTCACGTCCACACTTTAAATAAGTGGATGCATTGGAATCAATCCCTATATATATATATATATATAAAGAAATTATTGTGTAGTCCAAATTTGGGTTCCAAATTTAAAAGTCATACAAGTAATTATTCATAACTTATAGGTCAATACCTTGGACGTAAATGAAATAATCAATTATTTATAATTTAATAAATTATTTTCTGATTTGGATAGTTTATACAAAAATAAATTCATATTAATTAAAGAAACAATATAATTTTTATAATTATACTTATTATTCTAAATTTTTAAATATATGATAAAAATTTTACCAAAATAATAGAATCACATTGTAGACATGTAGTCGTATCGAATTTCTGAATAAAAATAGTAAAAATGACCTTTATTTTGTAATGAATATAATGTAAATTATTATTAGTTACGTGCACAGTACGAGTTGTTTACTAATTTTAAATACACATGTTTTAAGTAGTTTTGCTCAATTTAAATTCCATATAACATTTTCAATAAATTAACATAGCTAAATTGTATTACATATAGATTTCATATTTTTAACTTATAAATATTATTCAATGAGCATTTTTAATTCATAAATATTAATTAATATCTCTTGCTCGTCGCACGAGATTCGTACTAGCATGATGTGAATAAATACTACCTCATATTTTTTTTAAATGTCATTTTGGCCTTATCAACAAATAATCAAATAAATGACGTTTTGGACCTTTTGTACATATTTTTCTATTATTACCCTTATCTAGCTAATAAATATACTATATCTTTTCATATTCATTCATCATCTTTTCTCAAAACATCAATCTCTATCCTCATTAATGAAAATTATTATTGATAAAAAAATATTCTTAGTTACTGTACAACTTTTCAAAACGACACTTATTAAAAAAAATGAAGGATATAAATTTAGTCAACATTAATTATCCAACAAGAATACTCTTCCAACGGAGGATAAAATGGAATTCCTTAATTAATAATTCCTTAAATGATGAGGAAAAAAAAAGGAAAAATTGTCACACTTTTTTTGAATTTATAAATAACTATATTTATTAACTAATTACTTAAAATATCAAATATGATACAACTTGTGCCGATGTACATAATCCATATTCCATACACCTTATTGCCCATGTCAGCAAGTCACCTCCATTTATTACTTAATTTACCCCCTTTTTATTACACGCACCACACACGCACACACAATAGACGCATTGTTTGCGTGTCTCTCTGTGTATATATATGCGTGTGTATATTTGGTTCGTCGTCTCTTTGAAGCTTCCTGATGTCACCATGTGAAACGTGATTCGTCTTCTCAATTCGCATGTGAAAAAGCTGCTCGACTCTCTCACCTGCTCTGTAGATCTAATCTCTAGGTCTGTAAGGGTTTGAATTTCATGCCTTTTCATTTGAAGTAACTTTTTTAACCCCAATCCTTATTTCCATTGAATTCTTGTTTCAGTAACCCATTTTTGCAGATTTATCAGGATAAAAAAAAAAAAGGGGGAAAGTGATTCTGTCCAAGAAAGCTCAAGGAGTCTAAGTTTAGGGTTTTGCTTGGATTTTGGTTTGCATAGAGCTCTTTATGCATAGGGATTTTACAAGTCAATCATTATATTCCTGAAATTACAAAGTTTGAAGATTCTCATTAATGGATAAGGATAAGCCTCACCATGGAAGTGGGAATTCACTTCCTCCATCCGGGAGGTATGCTGCTTTCTCCCCACCAAAGGGTAGTTTCAACATGAAACCAGATCAATTGGGAACGTCGAATTTGCCTCCATTAGCGCCAGGCAGCTCATCTGACCAGGGTCATTTTGGTCACAGTGTGCAGTCTGCTAATCGGTTTAGTCATGACCTAAGCCGTATGCCCGATAACCCGCCTAAGAATCTGGGCCATAGGCGTGCTCACTCTGAGATTCTGACACTTCCGGATGACATCAGCTTTGATAGCGATTTAGGTGTCGTGGGCGGATTGGATGGGCCGTCCTTTTCCGATGATACTGAGGAGGACCTACTGTCAATGTATCTTGACATGGATAAGTTCAATTCTTCATCCGCTACTTCTGCTAACCAAGAATTTGGTGAGTCGTCTAATAATGTGCTGGCAGGCGAGTCGGGTTCATCTTCTGCCAATCAGTCGGGTGATAATGTCGGTACAGTTATCAGTGAGAAACCAAGAATTAGGCATCAGCATAGCCAGTCCATGGATGGGTCGACTACCATTAAACCGGAAATGCTCATGTCAGGTTCAGAAGATCCTTCGCCGGGTGATTGTAAGAAAGCAATGTCTGCTGCTAAGCTTGCCGAGCTTGCTCTTATTGATCCAAAGCGTGCTAAGAGGTAAAACATCCGTTTTTTGCGCGCCGGTTGCCTTTTTGTTGACTTTTTTTCCTTGATGTGGAGTTTAATTCGTAAATTGATTAGGTAAGCACTTACTTCTTTTCTACCGTTTGATGGGTGGTTGAATGCTTGTGTCTGCTTGTCAAGGAATTTGTTCTGTCCTTGTTTTGGATCAAGTTGAAGGGGTGGAGTAATTTGTGATTAATGCTTATTTGTTTACGTTCAAGCTAAGGTTATTATATCATCTACATCTTGTCGTAGTAGAGGATTCATTACAACTGACGGAGCCCTGTTTTGCTTAGCCTCATAGTTTTTGCTTGTACTATATTGAATAGATTCTAATGTTGGTAATTTGCTGTATTGATATCCTCTTATCACTCATGTAGTTTCCAAGATGTATTTGTAACTTTCTTTGGGTAGTTAGGAAGCTTCATAGGGACAATTCGACTTTAATCCTGTGTATGCAATATGTGGACAATTTTACGTCCTTTGGCACATGTGGAATGTAATGGCGATACAATGTAAAATATTTCAAAGATCTGATAGACCAATGAAGAATAATTCCGTTGCTTTTAGTGTATGAGGAGTCAAAAATTATAAAAGGAGTATCTTACTAAATGTTAGATCAGTAATGCAGGTAAAATAAGATGCTGCAGTGCAGTCTGCTCACACATATAAGTAAGTTTGAAATACCATTTCCTAACATTAGTATTGTATTAGGGTCACTGTCGAATACCTTCAGCATCTCAGGATTTGAAATATATATCAACGGGCGATCGTGATAGCAAATGTTAGTAATTTTATCTCCACGCCATGAGTAGGTGAAAGATGCAGCAGTCCTCATTCCTATAAAACTTTTGCTAGATTAATATGATGTCATTATTTTCTGTTGTAGAGTCACTTGTGCTATGTCTTTGACACGATCATCTGACCAGACATTGTCATTTTAGTATGATTTTTTGAATGAATGAAGATGTTAGAAACTGCTTCGTTGGCCTGTACTGAAGGGTCCAACACTCCAGTTGAGTTGGATTGAAATGGATATACGAGATCCTAATATCTTCTGCGGATATCCATAAAGTTCAATATGGTAGTGAAGGAAATTTATCGATTAGTTCTTCCTTGTTGATCCCTTTACTGATGCGGACAAAAGCTTCATATAAGATGCATTTAATAAGATGTTTGAAATTGATTGAATTAGTATGCAGGAATCTCCATGGTTTCTGGTCAGTCCTTTATTTTATTTTATTTACTTATGTTTTCATTTTGGGACTGGGGAGAAGGCTGAAACAACTTAGTGTAATACTGAACCAAAACTGCACTAATGAAAGGTCATTTGATCTGTCATGTGATTTTAGGATCTATTCACATGAAAAAGAAAATATCGCGACTTCCTTAATTATGTTGGCTGTCTGTGTCCCTTCAATGGTCAGTTATAGCTTTTATGTTGAATGCATGAGTATACAATTTGGTTTTGGATCTGTTGGAACATTGAAATTACTTAACTATACATATATATTTTATATGTGGATGATTGGGGATATGTTGGTTTGCAAGTTGTAATCCTTATGCTTATTCGCATAAATGAACTATAGTCGTGATTTCGCAAACTATCACTCTTAATAGTATTCCCTTTCATATATGTTAGTAGTTATGTCTTTTGGATTGGGACTACTGTGTGGGGTTACATTGTCTCATCAAGTTCGACATTTTAACGACTGTTTTTGTTATGAGAAGGATGCTTTACTTATGCTTCATTCTGTTCCAGTATTCATAATATTAAATAAAACAAATGACGAAATCCTGCCATGCAGTATGGTGGATGGATGTACTTTGAAGACAAACATTAAGAATTACGCATGCCAATATCATTGTTCGTTTTCCCATAGCTATCTTAATATTAGGTTTAAAGTTCATGTTTTATAAATGTCTATCTCCTCGTCCTATTTTTAAGTACATTTAGCTTGTGTATGTTTCCAGTTAGGTATCTGATGATAAAACGTTACAAAACACTGGAGATGTTATGTTCGTGTACACATGCCTGAACCACAATCGTTTACATGTGCTTTTTGGTTACAGGATTTGGGCAAATAGGCAGTCAGCAGCAAGATCAAAGGAACGTAAGATGAGGTATATTGCTGAGCTTGAAAGGAAAGTCCAAACTTTGCAAACAGAAGCTACTTCTTTGTCTGCTCAGTTAACCTTACTACAGGTGATTTTTAGCCTAATTTTCATGTACTTATTGTGTCAGCTCGTTTTGGTTAGAAAGATGAGCTCTTTGGATGAGTAGGTTAGGTCATTCTGGTGATAGACAAAACATATCCATTCATAAATCATAATGATGTTGCATGCGCATCTCAATCTGAACAAACATATTTTGGTTTGGTTGACAAAGTTTTTCCAGTATTCGTGTTTAAACTATTTTTATGGACCGATATGCGTCATGACATGTAATTCTATTTCTTCCCGGCTGCATTTTTTTCCTATTTCTCTCTATCGACTTTCAGCAAGAGTACTTCAGCGGTATACTGAATGCTTCTTATTTGTTTAAAACAGAGAGATACAAATGGTCTTACTGCTGAAAATAGTGAACTCAAACTGCGCTTGCAGACCATGGAGCAACAAGTACACTTGCAAGATGGTAAATATCTACTGCTTTTACACTATTCTTTTTTTTTCTTCCTTTTGTTGCACTCTATTACAATGAGACATAGATGGAGCTTACACCACTGGTGCTAATCTACAAACAACAAAATAAAAAAAGTAGCTGCTACCAACTATATAGTAAGGAAGTGTTAGACATCATGAGAAGGAAGTGAACATTAGTAAGAGAAGGTCACATTTGGGTTTGCAAAGTGCTAGTTTCTGGTATTCAGATTAGATTTCTGATTGAGTTTCTATTCTGGCATTTGCTCACAAATGAGATGTGCTTTATGATTTCCCAACCAAACACTTGTTCAATTTTGAGATTCTGTTTGCATACACTTCCAACTCCGGTGACTCTTTGCTTCTACTTCTGAAAGCAGTAGTGTGTGCAAACATTTACTAAAAGTTGGCAAGCTTAATATCGTCACAACTCAAATGCACAAAACGGTACAATCAATTTTATATTTTCCTGAAAAAACGCACATTAAAAAGTGTCATATTGCTACAGCACTGAACGATGCACTGAAAGAAGAGATCCAGCATCTCAAAGTGCTTACTGGACAAACAATGAACAATGGTGGGGCCATGATGAATTTCCCGCAATCTTATGGAGCTAACCAACAACAGTATTATGGAAACAACCAAGCCGTTCACACTCTTCTAACGGCTCAACAACTGCAGCAGCTTCAGATACATTCCCAAAAGCAGCAGCCTCCGCAGCAGTTTCAACAGCATCAGCAGTTTCAGCAGCAGCAAGAACAGCTGCAGGCGGCTAACTTGAAGCTTAAAAATTCTATGCCGTCCTCTGTTCAGAAAGATCACGGACAAGATGCCTCTTCCATTGGTTAGGCAACAAGAACGTTAATGTGGTATTTTCGCGATTTGTTAATTGGCCGAGTCTTGGTGTGACTGGTTAGATTTTTGTAGCTTGGTGACTTTTGGTTAGTCTATTCTTAGGTGAAAAAAACTGCATGATGTGGGTTGCACTAGGAAGTTTATTTTGTTACTAGTTTGTATATTAACTTGGTGATGTTTTGTTGTTTTATTCCTGTGATGCCTAGCGTATGATCTTTCTGTGGGTACAACTGGTTTAATTGAGTTCTTTTGGACTCTCTATCTTATGGCAGATAATTATTCCTCCTTTAGGCTTAGACATGGTGGGCCAGTTCAGCCCGAACAATCCCTGAACTGGCCAGTTTATCATGGGCCACCACGGGCCGGTTTAGGTTCACATAAATATAATTTTTTGAACCGTCGGGCCGATTCAGGATGGTCTGGAACCAAGCTTGGAGAAGTGGCACGTCAATTTTTTATCTTTTCGGGTCGGGCTGGGATTGTTCGGAACCATTGACGACCCGATGGCCACATTAAATCTAGGCCGTTGGATTTTTTTTATCATTGGAGATCCAACAAGTAGATTTTTATTTTATTTATTATTTTTAAATACGGTTCTGGGGTTTGGGCTCAGGCCCGCCCAGAACCGCCAAAGGTTAGATTTTTAAATCTGGTCGTTGGATCAACTCGATCGTTGAGATTCTGCTGCCACGATTAAACCGACTCGTCTGTACTGTCGGGCAGAACCAGAATCGATTGTTCAAATTAATA